CTATGTCATCTTATCCCGCTTGTAGCTCACTGTACATTTTAATTAATTATATACATCAATTAATTGAATATCTTAGTTTGCTCTGTGAACCTTTTTGCTCTGTGGCCTTTGGGACTTTGCCTGCCAGTGTATTCGGAGGATATTATTGCATCAAAGTATTTACCTTGTGATAGGTTTCTTAATAATGGAAAATGTTTTAAAGCAGGACTAATGGACATAGCAAAACTAGTTGAGCTGTTATATTTGATGATTATTAATCGTGCTACCCAGTCTGTGAAATGTACAAACAAGAAAATGTTGCTTTCTGCAAGTTTTAGAGATTTATCTCTATGATCAGTACTTTTTCTGTGGTAAGACTGTACCTGGAAGAGAAGTATCTACTTTTTTTGCATTTTCCATAGTTTGATATAGCTCAAAAAATTATCATTCTTATCTCTTTAGTCTAACTTGATGAGAGCAGTTTTACATTTCAGCATAGTCAAAAAATGGGTAAATGTACACAGAAAAAGGTTAATGTAAAAAAGAGATCTGTTAGTCATGAAAATTCTAATTAGAATCCACTGAGGAGTGCAGTTGTACCCGTTTTCTTGATAACTCTGAAAATCTAGTTAGTGTGAATAAAATCCTAGCAGAGGGAGCACAATGATACTGATTCTTTCTTTTCCTTTAAATTACTCCTATAAGATATCAGAAAACTGTCACCCTATAGTTTTATGTTGATAGTGCACTCATGTGATAAATAAACTTAAGTGACTATTGCTGCCTCAACAGAGAATTCAACTACTGCTCTTTAAGTCATCAGAGTGGGCAAACATTTGTTAAAAAAACATACTAAAGATAGGCTTATGGACACCTGACTATGGTGAACAATGTGACTATTGTCCTTGAAGGTAAAATTCATATTTCTATATGCCAAATATTTCTGCATATTTCATGATATTTTTTCCTAAACTGATAAAAGTCCTTCTGCTCTGCCCCTTGAGCTTTTTTGAAAATTATTTGTAAAATTCATAATTTTTTATTTTTCTTAAAAGTTATCAAAAGAAGAATGTTCTGCCTATCACAAAGCACCCTCCAGTCCAGGCTTCTTTAAACAAGTTGATATCCAAAATATTTGAGAATTCTTTCATAAACTTTCCTTCAGGGCCCGTCATGTGTAATATGTTAAATGATGTTAAAATTACAAATGTGAAGAAGATATAATCTTTGTCTTCAAGGAGCTGATGTGTAATAGAGTAAGAAATGTTTATATGAAGTGCAAAAACTGTAAAAAGTACAAAAAGGCAGCAATACAGTGCTATAGGAATCTAGAGGAGGGATCAAAGAGAGTGAGAGATGGCAACAAGAAAGAAAAGGAATTTTAACCCCAAATAGTCAAAGAAATCAGCAAAAAGAATAAAGTTAGAGCCATCACACTATCTTATTTTAAGCGACACTACAAAGCTATAGTAATTAAAACAGCATGCGAATAGCATAAAAATAGACACATTAACCAATGAAACCAAACAGGCCCCAAATAAACCCACATATTTATAGTCTATTGATTTTTGATAAAGGTGCTAAGAACACAAAATGTGAAAAGGAAGTTCTCTTTAATGAAAAGTGTTGGGAAAACTGGATATCCACATGTAGAAGAATGAAACTGGCATGATGGCATATGCCTGTAATTCTAGCAACTTGGGAGGCTGAGGCAGGAGAATTGCTTGAACCCGGGAGGTGGAGGTTGCAGTGAGCCAAGATCGCACCATTGCATTCCAGCCTGGGTGACAGGGCGAGACTCCAACTCCAAAAAAAAAAAAAAAAAAAAGAGAGAGAGAAAACAGAAACTGCGTCCTTAACTCACACTACATTTAAAAGTCAACCCAAAATGGATTAAAGGCTTAAATGTAAAGATGTGAAACTGTAAAACCACTAGAGGAAAACAGGAGAAAAAACTGTATGACATTTGTCTTGGCAATGGGTTTTTGGATTTGACCTCTATAGCTCAGGCAACAAAAACAAAAATAGACAAATGGGATTACTTCAGACTAAAAATTTCTGCACAGAAAAGGAAACAATTAACAGAGTAATATGGACAACCTGTGGATTGGGAAAAAATATTTGCAAACCATACATCTGATGATAAGGGGTTTGTATACAAAATATGTAAGGAACTCAACTCAATAATAAGAAAATAAATAACCAATTTAAAGAATAGGCAAAGGACCCAAAAACAGATTTCTTAAAAGGAGACACACAAATGGCCAAGAGATACATGAAAAATGGTCAATCTCACTAATCGTCAGAAAAATGAAAATTAAAATCACAATGAGATATCACTTTACAACTGTCAAGATGACTAACATAAAAAATGGAGGATAATGAGTGTTGGTGAAGATGTGTAGGAAAAGGAATCCTTGTGCACTGTTGGTAGGAATGTCAATTAATATAGCCCTTATGGAAAACTTCATGGAGATTTCTCAAAAACTAGAATTACCACATGATCGAGCAATTCTGCTTTGTTGTCTAAAGGATATAAAATTAGTATTTGAAGAAAATATTTGCACTTCGTGTTTATTGCAGCACTATTCACAATAGCCAAGGTACGGAATCAACCTAAGTGTACATCAACAGATGAATGAATAAATAAAATGTGGTATGTACACAAAGTGAAATACTATTCAGCCTTTAAGAAGAGGGATAATGTGTCATTTGCAACAGCATGGATGAACCTGGAGGATATTGTGCTAAGTGAAATAAGCCAGGCACAGAAAGACAAATATCTCATATTCTCACTTATAAGTAAAATCTAAAACATTCACAGAGGCAGAGAATAGAATGATTGTTATTAGACGCCGGAGGACAGTGGTTAGAATGGAGATGTGTTGGTTATAGGGTACAGTGTTTCAGTTATACAAAAGAAATAAAAGTAAATATTTGAAAAAAAATTAGGTTTCTTCCAGGCAACAGTTTGCCATAGAAAGAGAAACTAAAATTTGGGGCTTGGAATGAGTTGTGTGAATCTGGCAGAGCCTGACTCTTCCTTGTTCCATCAAGCACAGGGCAATCAATTGTCCTTCAGAAGGTTTGAGTTACCATTAGTAGAAAGGATGCATCTTTATCAAATTCTAGGAGGGTCTACTTCCTCTTCTCTTTCCACGAGCCACCACTTAACAATATTTTTATTTTGTTGGAATCTTTTTCTTGAAAATCTACATCTTTTTCTGTAAAATGCATTCCTAAAAAATCTGAAAATAAATGTCCTAATCAAGTAACTTAAAAATAAACAGTATTTTAAAAGCCAAAACAATAAGTTTTTTAAATTTTTTAATTTTTAGTTTACTTTAAGTTCTGAGATACATGTGCTGAACGCGCAAGTTTGTTACCTAGGTGTACATGTGTCATGGTAATTTGCTGCACCTATTAACCTGTCATCTAGGTTTTTAAGCCCTACATGCATTAAGTATTTGTCCTAATGCTCTCCTTCCCTTTTCCCCCCACCACCCGACAGGCCCTGGTGTGTGATGTTCCCCTCCCTGTGTCCATGTGTTCTCATGTTCACCTTCCACTTATGAGTGAGAACATGCGGTGTTTAGTTTTTCTGTTCCCGTGTTAGTTTGCAGAGATGATGGCTTCCAGCTTCATCCATGTCCCTGCAAAACACATGAACTCATACATTTTGATAGCTGCCTAGTATTCTATGGTGAATAAGTTTTGTATGAGACAACTACTAAGAAAAAAAAAAGGAAAATAAAAGGAATTTTGAAGGGCTTAATGAATTTAGAAATGGAAGACATGTGTGAAGATAAAAATTTTGCCAAGGAAAGCCAACTGCCTGCTATGGGAACTTAGTGCCTTGAAGAGAAGTTACTAAGTATTAAGGTCAATTCAGAAGTTAATTTGCCTTATTTTTAACTGCAGGGAAACAGAATTAAACTTAATTCTGCCACGATAGTAGAAGCACACTGAGAATTTATAATTCTATGGTAAAATATTGAAAAACATAGTACTAATATGTTTTGAGAAGAAAGTATATATTGACACTGGAATTATCCTCCAGGGAGAAAAACCACTTATGTATTCTTAAAATATTTTATTTAAATACAATTCCCTTGCAGTGCATAAGTTTCTATTAAATAAAATAGGACTTATAAACATCATTGCCAACATTTACCAATCTTATAAATTCCAACACTTTAGGTCCCATAAGCGTCAATTGAATAAAAATAAATTAAGTAACGATTTAGAAAACTTAGGAAAATAGCAATATGCATTCTTTTGCAGCGAGAAGGACAGGAACAATATAGCCTTGATGAAATTTTAGCTATTCTTTTTCTCTACTTTGCTTGACATATTTAGCTACCATAATAATCTTGATTATTTTTGTGAATAGAACAATTAAATTCTTCTGTGAATGTAAGAGATAAATTGAGTTACATACACATGTGTGTGTATTTACTCCAATTTCTAAATAGTGCCTGGTCCCAACATATCTGTTTACACAGCCTGCTCCTACTGCTGCTATCTGGTTATTGATGGGCAAAGTGCTGTCCAGGGTGCTGAACTCAAGCTTACTGACCCAAGTGCACAGAACAACCATTAATCCAATAAAAACACTCCTGCTGAGTACTTATGCGATCTCAAGAATCTCAACTGCTTACCCAAGCAACCACTATCAATTCCTTACAGATTGTTCTCAAATTAAAACCTATTAGTCAACGCAAGTCTAATGATGTGTCTCAGCCTTACATGGGCTTCAGAACCTGTTAAAGGGAATTCCTGTGAATAAAGGACACAATAGACTAATCTATTTATTGGAATAATGGCTTATTAATTTCCACATAGCACTACCTAATGAATTATCAACAAACATATAAATAATCTACTTTTAGTAAGAAAATAGTAATAACTAACCACTGAGTCTGTGCCAGGCACTGTTGAAAGTGCCTCATATATATGGAGTAATGCGATCATCACATCAACCCTATAAAATCAATACTCTTATTGATCTAATTTTCTAGGTGAAGAAATTGAAATAAACAACTAGAAAATGGTGGAACCAAAATTCAAACTAAGTCCAACTGGCTCTAGTAAGTATGCTTTCAATTACTACAATATACTCCTGCTACATGGGAAATCAAATTATATGCAGAGGTTACCTTGTAAGGTTACAGTAAAGAAAAATTATTGATATGGTTTTATGCTTAATGGCAATTAATTATGATGGTTCGTTGAGCTCATTTTTACTATAGTAGAAGTAGAACCAGTCAGGGCAAGAAAATGGGCAAAGGGACTTCCTGATTTCTAATGCAATTTTTTTTTGTATTCCATAATAATAATTCAGTTAGCAGTTTGTTTAATAAAGGTAGTGTTGCATAGTAATTAATCAATCTTAGAGGTTAGACTACCTGAGTTCTAAATACCACTTGGGACATCATTGCATAGCCTTTGCCAGTTGCTTTTCTTTGTTTCACTTCAATTTTTGTACCTATAAAATGAGGAAAATAACAATGTCTGTTGCACATAGTTGTTGTGAGGATTAAGTGAATTAATGCATGTAAATCACTCAGACAATGTCTTGCATTTAACAAACCCCAATAAATATTAGTTATCATTATTGCATGTTTTCATGGAATTAATTAGATTGCAATTAGATTTGTCATAAACTTTATTATCTTTCACAAAATATTCTGAAGCTAAACAACAATGTTTAAATATTTATTTTTTTCTTATGTATTGATTTTATGGTTGAAATATAAAGGTTTGACTGCTTTTCTGTTTCCTATATGTATCTTCTAAATTTGGTCTATATAGTTGAGTAAATTAGAAACAACAAACATTACAAATGAAGACATAAAGGTAAACAGTGTTTTTCCCTGTGCAGATAATTTACAATGTATACTATTGGTGACAAAAAAGTAACTACTATCAGCACTCATATAAGTAACAAGTCAATTAAAGTTAACAGAATAATTGGTGTTTCTTGACACATATGGTCAATTAATCATTATTGGGTAACTTAGATGATAAAGAAACCAGAATAAAGTACACAATTCTCACAATGAGATAGTCAGATGCCACACTATGTACATATCTATCTGGTATTGGATCAAGGATATAAACTAAATGGGCACTTTAGAAATGTTGCAGTGCAATAATTCCTAATAAACATTGCTTCATTTTAGTATTAAAAGTAGTATAATTCCTTTATAAAACATTAATATTATTGACACATTATTGTATATTTGATACCCAGATACCCTGTTAAGTTCTGGAAGCAAAGTAAAACAACAGACGAACAAACAGAATGCAAGAAAAAGTTTTCATCTTTGAAGATCTCATAGCATAGTGGGAAAGATAAGCAAACACATAATGGCAGTATACTATGGGGAAATATGTCCAAAGTGGCATGGGCATTAAAATGAGAGTGGCCATGTAAGAGAGTTTTCAGAGCATGTAATCTTTTTATCTTCTGGATTAGCATCTTATTGGAAAATATGTCTTACATTTTAAGGTGTAGATATGAAATCAGGTCTGATTTCAAGTCTTAATTTTACACTTTATCATTTGTAAACCTGTACAAACATCCTAAACTTCACCTCAGTAATTATAATGAGTATTAAATGAGATAATGCACATAAAATACTTAAATAAAAATCTAGTCTATTGACATTCAATATAATATCTCTATTAAAAATATGAGAAGAATTTGCCATGAAAGGGTTATTGAGTATGGATGAGTACCTTTCAGAAATAGGAAAAAGATTAATGAAAGTGAAGATGCAGAAAGAGTGTGGCACTTAAATAAAATGTAAGTGCATGTGGGTGAGTAATAGAAGAATAAACTGGAAAATTGAAATCTAGATTTTATCTTTTGAATATAAAGATTATTTTGATATATACAATGGAATATTTGATTACCTGCAGAAACATATAATGATAAAGTTAGTATGAAGCATGTCATGTTTTAAATGAGCAGGCATTTAATTAGTCACAGTAGCATAGTTCTTAAAAATAGTAGTATATACAAATACAAGACTTTGATTATTTCATGGAAAATCCTTGGGTGATGAGGATTTTTAGCAACAACTCTCTAGTTGGAAACTACTGCCGATGACAATGGGGAACACTGAGGAGTGTGCTGAGGATAGAATGGCACTATCAGGTTTGCATTTGAGAAAGGATATTCTGTCAATGGCTGAAGGAGGTTTTACACAGAATGTGTGGTGAGGGTAAAACTATAGGCATGAAATCAATAGAGGTCATTTCAGTGATAGGGAAAAGGAGTGTGTACCACTCTGAATCTTAACAGAAAAGAGATAGCATAATATACTGGGATTTCTTTTTTATTGTTTTAATTTTTCTGTTATACTTTAAGTTCTAGGATACATGTGCACAACGTGCAGGTTTGTTACACATGTATACATGTGCCACGTTGGTGTTCTGCACCCATTAATTCGTCATGTACATTAGGTATGTCTCCTAATGCTATCCCTGGTATGTGATGTTCCTCACCCTGTGTCTAAGTGTTCTCATTGTTCGATTCCCACCTATGAGTGAGAACATGCAGTGGTTGTCTGTCCTTGTGACAGTTTGGTCAGAATGATGGTTTCCAACTTCATCCATGTCCCTACAAAGTACATAAACTCATCCTTTTTTATGGCTGCATAGTATTCCATGGTGTATATGTGCCACATTTTCTTAATCCAGCCTATCATTGATGGACATTTGGGTTGGTTCCAAGTCTTTGCTATTGTGAATAGTGCCACAATAAACATACGTGTGCATGTGTCGGTATAGCAGCATGATTTATAATCCTTTGGGTATATGCCCAGTAATATGATGGCTGGGTCAAATGGTATTTCTAGTTCTAGATCCTTGAGGAATCGCCACACTGTCTTCCACAATGGTTGAACTAGTTTACAGTCCCACCAACAGGGTAAAAGTGTTCCTATTTCTCCACATCCTATCCAGCACCTGTTGTTTCCTGACTTTTTAATGATGTACATTTTAGTAAAGAAAATACTTATATGTGAGTAGGGTTAAAAAACAAAACAAACAACAACAACAACAACAACAAAACAGATTAGAACTATCAAGAGTGGGAAGCCATGGTTACCCTTAAACCTTACTAAGCTTAAGGTCCCAAGAAAGCCTGGCTGATGGCTGAAAACATGGAAGAATCTATTATGATGAAGCAAAGTAGCATCTTTTAGAACCACACTGAAGCATGGAGGAAATTGAGGAAATACAAACCCAGCTCTCCTTCTTCTCACCCTCTAAATCCTTCTGGTGTCTCCAAATAGAACCCAACCAGAAGTCAAAGGGCAAGGAAAACTCCAAAGAGGACGGTTCTTTAGGGTATAGAGAAAGAGAAAGAAGGGTATAGGGTAAATTTTTTTTTTTTTTTTTTTTTGAGATAGAGTTTCTCTCTGTCACCCAGGCTGGAGTGAAATTTAAGGTGGCTAAAGATAATAGGCCAGCACAAGGTGAAAAGGGTCTAAATGAGTACAATTGCAATGAATATGGACAAGGGAACAACTCAAGATATTTTTATGCAAAGGTCTTGGTGACAATGTCACCACTAAAATGATGCCACTCATTTTTTAAAAATCTAATATTTAATTAATCAAAATAAAATAATTAGAAATAGTTGTATGTGGTATAGTAGTAGTATATGAAATATTGATTATTCAAATGGGGTGCAAGTGAGAGGAAATATCTTCCAGTAATATTTAGATTCCTTGTTTGGAAACCTGATTGAATGCTGGAAATATTTACCAAGAAAATGATTACAAAACAGAGAGCAGGGAGGAAGAAGAGCTGGAGCTGGAGTTAAGAAAAAAGAAGTCAATAAGTTGCATGAGGTTCACCTTTAGTGGCTAAAATGACTATTTTATTTGACTCTAGTTGGGTTAATCTGGTTCCCAGAGGCTTAAAAATTAATACTGCCCTAAAGTTATAGTATTAACAACTGATTCAGAGAAAGGGAGAGCATACGGGTCCACAGTGGAGCATAACAATTTCACAAATTGTCATCACTCATTGTGGAAAAAATATCTTTGCAGTGAAAATCACCCTCTTACCTGGATGAAGACAGCCGTAGAGAAACTCTCCTGCCTATATATATGGCTTCAGAGTCTCAGGTTACCTGGCGACAACTCTAGAGGGCTTGTTCATGTGACATTGGGAAACTAAGCTATGAACTGTTGTTTCCTGACTTTTTAATGATGTACATTTTAGTAAAGAAAATACTTATATGTGAGTAGGGTTAAAAAACAAAACAAAAAACAACAACAACAACAACAACAAAACAGATTAGAACTATCAAGAGTGGGAAGCCATGGTTACCCTTAAACCTTACTAAGCTTAAGGTCCCAAGAAAGCCTGGCTGATGGCTGAAAACATGGAAGAATCTATTATGATGAAGCAAAGTAGCATCTTTTAGAACCACACTGAAGCATGGAGGAAATTGAGGAAATACAAACCCAGCTCTCCTTCTTCTCACCCTCTAAATCCTTCTGGTGTCTCCAAATAGAACCCAACCAGAAGTCAAAGGGCAAGGAAAACTCCAAAGAGGACGGTTCTTTAGGGTATAGAGAAAGAGAAAGAAGGGTATAGGGTAAATTTTTTTTTTTTTTTTTTTTTGAGATAGAGTTTCTCTCTGTCACCCAGGCTGGAGTGAAATTTAAGGTGGCTAAAGATAATAGGCCAGCACAAGGTGAAAAGGGTCTAAATGAGTACAATTGCAATGAATATGGACAAGGGAACAACTCAAGATATTTTTATGCAAAGGTCTTGGTGACAATGTCACCATAAAATGATGCCACTCATTTTTTAAAAATCTAATATTTAATTAATCAAAATAAAATAATTAGAAATAGTTGTATGTGGTATAGTAGTAGTATATGAAATATTGATTATTCAAATGGGGTGCAAGTGAGAGGAAATATCTTCCAGTAATATTTAGATTCCTTGTTTGGAAACCTGATTGAATGCTGGAAATATTTACCAAGAAAATGATTACAAAACAGAGAGCAGGGAGGAAGAAGAGCTGGAGCTGGAGTTAAGAAAAAAGAAGTCAATAAGT